TCCGGCGCGAAGTACCAGAAAATGATGTTGCGGATGTTCGAAACAAAGTCTTAACGCGGGTTGCACTGGATGTGAGAGCCAACTTTGATGAATGATTAATTCTCGACGAAATCTCGAGTCAGGTCGGTTTTATGAGTTCGGGCACATGACTTCAAGTCGTAACAGAAACAGTTTATTAATAATAACGAGTAAGTCTGATAACAATTGTTAAATATAACACTATGAACGGTGGCGTTCGCACGGTACAAATTCGCGGGTGACTATTTGGAGTCGCGGTGAGACTATTTGGAGTCTCTGAGAGCAGGAGATGTCCGTCTCTCGCGGTGGAAGATTTGCTTCTCTTCATGCCCAGAGGAACTTTTGTCCAGAGCGCTTTCGGATGCTGTCCTCTAGGGCGGAGTTTTTTACAAAGCCTTTACTGATAGGCGTAGAGAAATTAGAGTGGGATCGATAATCGAAAGTGATTGGTTCATGAGGACTGAGAAGGGGAAAAGTTAATGTTGTTTAAGAAGACTTAGGTGGGGAATAACAAAAATGGGCCTAAAGGACCGCGGTAGTAGATAAGAGAGCGAAGCGCTCGAGTTTCTGTTTAGACATCCATTTAAATTATGAGCCTAACACGTGACTGAATCAATGGTGCTATATGACATGAGAGACACGAGAAAGAATAAACGGAACTTGAAATACGGAAGAAATAGAACACCCTGACCGTTGCAGAGAGCATTCCAAATAATTCTAGTGTGATAATTATTAAATTATGGATTAGTCCGTATTTGCAATAAATGATTGAAATTTACGTATTGGCTTGAAAACCACACATGACATGATAATTGCTATCTGAGATAAAGAAATTCGTTCTCGATTGAGCCCTTGTTCATTCGGCTCGAACATGTGTTTTAAATTTACAACATATGTTATAAATTTGTGTTTAACGGTATATGATTTCAAACATTTTTTTGCAGATAAATAAAGTTGAGAAATGTCCCGGGCATATCTGAGTACGTCTTTGTAGACAACCCTGGAGTGAGAGAAAAAGAGTTGGTAAACTGAACAATTTGACCCTGTTAAAGCCATTTTTGTTAAAGAAATGCAAATTATCCTTTCATTTCCTTTAATTCCGGTCACCCCACGCGAGTACTTATGTTCACTGATTTACGCGAGGACTTAAAGGTTAAGGAAGCAATTGTCTATTGTATACTCGACAAGAACGACGTACCCCTTATCGATTCTGTTGTTTATAACCAGAAATGCCATCAATCTTGCCATCGTGGTGGCCACCTGTTTCTCTCATCTGACGCTGCTAATGCTAGTGAAGAGAGGAAGCGTGACGCGACGCATATTTACCCCTCTTCCGAACGGTTCTTTTCAAAGTTATGCAATCGATTACGGTGTGACACGCAAGTTCTTTGGAAAATCCCTACGTCATTCGCATTTCAAACCACATGAGGGGGTTGCCTCGCAATTACACCCGTTAATCTCCCCATGAAAATACCCTGATTCCAAATGATAAACAATCACCGTCGGTGTTACGTCCGTGACACGAATTTCTTTGTTAGTAGTCCTAGTATACAGGGTTTGTCCGAAAAGTAATTTCGGGGAGTCGGTTTAAAAAATGTTATAGATCAGATCGGTACAACACATGACAAGGTTTGAAAATAAGCTCCCCTTGCGTCGATACATCGCCTCCAGCGACATTTCCAGGCATCGAAGGCGGCACGGTAGGCCTCCTCCGGAATGTCCTTTAGAGCCTTGGTGCAACCTGCCTTGACGTTGTCAACTATCCCGAAACGATGTCCTTTCATGGGAGTTTTCAAACGCGGAAACAAAAAAAAAGTCTGGGGGAGTACGTTAGGACTGTAGGGCGCCTGGGGAACCGTTGGCACCTTTGAATCGACCAGGAAGCGGGTCACGAGGAAGGCGGGGTGGGATGGTGCGTTGTCATGTTCCAACGAGCGGTGCATTACAGCTTGCACAGGAGACGAAAACGCGTTTCACGGAAAAGCCTGTCCTTACTCTCCGGATGGTCGGTGATGACTGAGTGACCGCGCGTTCGGGAGCTGACTTCCCGCCCCATCGATCCCAACCGGTCCGTACGTATAGTCGCTTAACAATTAACCCCTTAACTGACAATATCGTGTGAGAGACGTGGTATATCAATCGTGCCAAACGTGAACAAAACGTATGAGAGACGTGTGAGACTTTGAATGTTCGGCCAAACCGTGAAATGGCCCGATGTACGACCGACATTTTTGTTGTTTCTGGCACGCGCTATTGGGATTTAAATCGTAAGGCAAGGGGTTGAACTCACACTGACATTACTTTTCGGACAACTTTTCTAAGCTGGCACATCACGTTACCGACATGTATATTTATGTTGAATTTTTTCGGAAGCTGACTTCTCGCCCCATCGATCCCAAACGGTCCGAGCGCGCTGCGACGTATAGTCGCTTCACAATTAAATTGACATTACTTTTCGGGCAATCCTTGTACAGTTGTAATTCACGAGACCTGGTACCTTCCAAAGATGTTTTGACTTTCTACGCGTTCTCCCGGCGTGCATTTGGCCGCCAAATATTGTGTGTTACTTTCATGCGAAGGAACTTCCGCAAAATTGTAGGAAGTATCCTTGGACTGTACGCGATTTTACAAAGAAACGGTTAGGCCATTCTCGACCAGATCACCATTTTACCTACTCTCGCTGCTGATGTCGCGACAAATATCGTTCAATCATCCCCGACGGAGAACCAATCACAGAGGACTTAAAAAATATATCCCTTCCGGAGCACCGCAACTTTTCCAAGACATTGTGTTTTTGTGTGGCTCCAAAAAATGATACTCTGCTTTTTACAACGACCGAAGGGAGTCTTAATTTAATGATTAGTTGTACGTAAAACAAGACTTTATCTCGGAGCTAAATCCCTCCGACGTTTAGCTATATCCTAATAAATTTCCAATTTAAAATAATTAAACAGAGCTGGTAAGAGCTGTCTGTGTTCACGTGTGCAGTTCAAAGAACAGACAATTTGTCCGTATGACTTTTCGCCGTTAGGTTGTTCCATATTGTTGTTATAGAAGGCGATAAAATCCGCAACTTCATATTGAACAACCTAATATTTCACAACATGGTTAGTGTGGAAAGTTCATTTGACGGTATGGCTAGTACAAAAAGGAAAATAAGAGCAAACAAGTAACGGGCAACCCAAGAAAATTTCCATGAATTTTTCTAAAGCTCTTGGAAGCATAATGGAGCACAGTTTGCATAATTGTACTCTGTATTTTGTAATCTACTGCAAGTTTCTACATGTTTTTTTTTAATAATTTACAATTACGAACGAATGCTATAGTATCCCGACGAGAAGGAATGTAAATTATAACATTCTTCACGGCCAGAATGCATTCTAAGGACCAATGTTGGATTTATAAGTAATATTTAATAATGTTACCGGTGTACATACAGTATGCGCTATGGATATTGACTGTGTCTAAATTGAGAAGCAATTCAAAAACGGAGATCGCACAATTAAAATAATCAGTAAAATATGCAAGGTTATTCGTTAAAAAACCGAAGCACGGCTGGCGACGTTCTTCTATAAATAAAACAATAGCACATTATTTCATCTGGTGTATGAGAATCCACCTGTTATATTGTTATTTTAAAGCGGGAATCACAATTGTTTTATATATTCCGCACGGTGAAGAGTGCGCGCGCATCTGGAGGAACATCCATTGTTCCTGGATTCCATTTCATGGAAATACACCATTGTTCCGACGGTAACACTTGAATATACTTCCCATCAGCACCACACCCTGTGTATTATGAATACGTGAAGAGAATTTGATTTCACGTATATCCTCTCTTAGCCTTTGAATGCAAAAAAAATATTTTACACATTTTTGTCACCGCAAACATAGGAATTTATATGGACCATATACCGACATTAGAACAACGTGAACTTTATGAGTTTTTAACAACAAATCTAATTTGTTAATTTACGTTATAGTATGCGTCTTTTAATATTTAACTCGTATCTCGAGCGGAACCATGTACAATTAGCACTTATTAAAGACTGAGGATTGTTATGAGGACAACAAAATATTTTATGCGCTGAGAAAGTAACACTCAGATTATTAAATCGAAATAATATTTATCATTCCATTACGAAGTATGAGCATTTAATTATTAAACCCCCGTAAGCATTTAATTGAAAGTGTAAAATGTCGCCGAATAAAATTGTTCATATCGTTTGACATATTCTTTCATATTTATATTCTTTTATTATACATCTTTTTATTAACGTATGTAAATATTGAATATAGAATGCGAGGTAACTTGCCAATATAATCAGTCTAAAAAAGTGAGACAAAAAGTAAATGAGACTTTTTTCTCTACGGTTAAAAATTAATATAAAATATTTTCAATCGTACTTCAATCATTAAGAAATTATAGATAAAATCAAAAACGTCTTCATCTGTTCCGTCATTGAGAAGATGTTAATACATCCTCAATCTAGTCCATGTTTTCCTCACGTTTGTGCAGTTTTTAAGTTAAAGTTCCATAAACTGAAGCTAAACGATCGAATTTGGCTTACAATCTAAACGGCGGTTAATGGAAATTAACCCGCCGTTAAAATGTGGTGGAACGTGCATTTCATTGTAACCCAAAATTAGCTTTTTGACCAAGGTTGGTGAAACCCGGCATAACTCTCTCTTAACAATCTACCTCTCCCTTATAGTTAATTCATCGGCTTCCTGGAAATTTGCAATACTTTGACCCCTAAATTGAAAGATCCTGTATAAAGTCTCCGAGCAAAAATCAAAATTTCGCTTGATTTCAATGGTTTATACCACGGAATTGAGCCAATTATTTTGAAATTGAGTGTTCTAGAAGATTGTCTGACTTCTCCCCTAGGTAGAACGTGTAGATTGTCTTGTCAAAGGAATAGAAAGGCATTGAGAGTCGAAGGATTCGTTTCTAAGGCTGACATACCTGTTTATTTTAGGTGGAGAGCCTCCAGGCACGAGGAGCATCGTGGCTTACTCGTGGGCGCGAAGATTGGCACTCGATTACAGACCCTCTACCGAGTGCGCCGGTAATGGAACTCCGAGTATGGCGGTGCACGCACTCGATCACCTCGTAGACGAACCCTGGCTTGAGACAATCCCGGGACAACTATTCCTCTACAGCGCACATTTAGACCGAAGAGTACCCGGCTATCCCGGGATAAGGGTGATTGGCGTTAAACGGGGCAGCCTCCGGACCTTCACACTCTTCTGTACCGTTTGGTAAGTTATCGTCTCGCGCGTCGTTTCAATCGACCCATTGGATTCACCGTAAACGGTAGATTAAAATGTAATTCGGAGAAGTGCACGGGTAGAAAGGTCGATTTCGATGTAACTAAGTGGCAGTATTCCGTATATGAAATCTGCAAGGACGCTAGCTAGCCACGTTGCCAACCTGCCAATGTAGGGCATGCATTGAAACGTTACCTTTTCCTATGTAGGACCTAACTAGGACATTTTAAGTAGACTCAATAAAGGAAGCTTCGGACGAAATTGCATAATTGTGGTAGTGCATCATCAATATTTAACCGTCAAGCCTTCTTTGAGTTCAGTTAGATCGAAACCGATTTTTTTAATCATTTCTTTTGTACCCCTTTGCTATGATTTTATCTATCAGGGATGAGCAGAGAGATGTTTCATGCCATTGTTTGAAAGCGAGGCAAGAATTTAGCCATGTGTTCATTCCGAAAACCGTTCATAAAAATTAGTTTTCTACAGTACAGTTATATTGCCCCGTTCGTCCTTTAATACAGATGTATAGGGTTCTTCAGAATTTTCCCGGCTACACCATACCTATTCTTTGACGCCGTACCATTTTTAACTTCACCGTTAATACGTGCGTACAACATGCACACATGCGTACAGCATGTTTTTTCCATTTCCACGGTGACCAAAAGTTTTCCGCTTCTTAACCAACTGTATTATAGCTGTTGACCAATCACGAGGCCAACTACTCAATTTTGAACCGCTCTTCTTAAAATCAGTCAGACAATCGCCAGTTAAGAAAAATGTTACTTCCTTCTCCAAAAATGTAATGCGATAGTGGAGGAATCTTGTACCTTTCTTTGTAAAAGCAGTCTTCCGTCAGCCTTCGCCATCATCTCTGTTTGTTTCCTGTACATACGCATGAAGGCCTCACAAACTAGCTCCGTTCCTCATCAAACGTTTCACTTCACTTCAGGGTGTACTTTCTTCACACATTAAGCGTTTATCTTATCCCAAATTGCAGTTCCTTTCAAAACAATCGGGATTCATATAACAACTATTGGGCAAACGAGCTTGGCGGAACAGTATTCGTAGTCTTCTTTCCCAACCTACATTGAGCCTGATACCGAAAACGAAAAGGGCGATAACTTCATCCTATCGGTACTGTGCCGTATCTGAAATCTGCAGACGCATTTTTCTTCACCGATAGAGAACATTTCGCCCCTTGGAAACAGTTCCACGGCGCTAGGGAGCCGTGCCTCATTTTCGACAATAGCGTGAAACATCTCCCCACGTATTTCTGTAACTACCTAAATGTTAAGAATAAAAACAAAGTTACAATGGTACTATCACATTTCATTGCCACGGGTCCACTGGAACCAGATGGTAGTATACGATGTGTAAAATAAAGAAGATATGAAGCTTAAGTAAGCTCGAGTAAGGCGCTAACGGGAAAGTGTCGATAAAATTGTCTTTTATGCCATATTAAATCCTAACTAGGTATTAACCAGGAAAAGATATCTTGGATGACCAAATTTCGACTGGGACCTTTCTTAGCTGTTGTAATAATTCAGGTTAGAACTAACAGAAAGCGTCGATATACGAATCAAACTGTCGATTTGTTGCCAAGCTTCGCGGCCTATCGTTCGGTCGTTCGGGGGAGTCGCAAAGGGATTTGGTCGGGCTAGCGGACTTGCCGATGTCGAAGAGTCCGTAGGGTGACGACAGTCTTGGCATCGGCCCTTGGTGGCCCTGCTTGGTGAATACGGTCTTGGCATCGGTCCTTGGTAGCCGGTTGGCTCTCGGGTCTTCGGTCAATATCGGCGGAAAAGTTGTCTTGGATGTACGACCAAATTTCGACTGGGACCTTTCTTAGCTATTGTAACAATTCAGGTTAGAACTAACAGAAAGCGTCGATATACGAATCAAACAGTCGATTTGTTGCCAAGCATCGTGGCCTATCGTTCGGTCGTTCGGGGGAGTCGCAAAGGGATTTGGTCGGGCTAGCGGACTTGCCGATGTCGAAGAGTCCGTAGGGTGACGACGGTCTTGGCATCGGTTCTTGGTGGCCCTGCTTGGTCAGAGGTCGATCCTTGGTAGCCGGTTGGATCTCAGTGAATACCGGCGCCTTGCGATCCCCAGGTTCGACTTCGACGTTGGTCATCGCCAGGACGGGTATTGAGCGGTCAGCGATCCAGGAAGCGAGAGAGATAGATTCCGCGATTTCAATAATATAAGGATGGATCCCCTCTATCAAGCGCTCCCCCTCCCGATTATACAGTGCCGTGTCGATTGCGACCGGCCGCGATTCTTATAATCATTACAGTATGGTTGGAAAGTGAGAATGTGAAAGCCCTAAGCGGGGGTTTAGATACTCTCTGACGCTCAGTTATCCACAGGGAATGAATATATACAGACATTCATTGAAACGTTTTATTGGATTGTTACAAGGTAATGTGTATAGGAGACGTCTAAAGAATTTAACAAAAATACGTACTGAAACGTAAACGTTATTTCGTATCCTGCAATCACAGTTAAGGATCGAAACCGAAAAAAGAGGGTGAATCCTCTTTCTGCCAGGGGAACAATTAATTTCAGTATACTGATTCGTTTACCATTTTCTAACATAACTGACTAGGACTTCGAGTCGTGGATAGTGACCATCTGAGAATCGTAAAGAGGAAATGAGAATATTCGCCGTGCAAATCCGAACATAAAAGCCCTTCATTTGGTCATTGGACACTTCATTTGGTATCAAAAAACACGAGGAATTTTTCTAATATTTTCATTCCGCTATTTTATTCCGGGAGCAAAACGTGTGAATTTGATTTTACATATTTTTAAAACGTTCATAATGTATTCGTCAGGTAATATTTAAAAAATTCTTGTATTAAAATGAAACGAAATGTTTTGTATATCTGATAAAAAAAATATTACGAAGCCACACGGAGCTAATATTATATAAATATTATAGAGATAATATTCTAAAGTAAACGTTTTGCAAATATTTCAAATGTCTGCTAAATATTTACAAAATGTACGATATTCGTTAAATATATAGAAAATATAGGACAAATATTTTGTGCTACTTGGCCTGTATATCGTTTTTCACGTATCAGCCAATCAGCAAATTAATTTACGTCTACGTGTGGAAGTATGAATGCATCAATTTTCAATTCGTCGGTTAACCCTTTGCGGACGAGACGTTTCCATTATAAAGGCTTTCGGGCGACTGAGAGTCGCCTCTCGTCCGCAAAGGATTAATCGAGTCCCAGAGGATCGGCATCTTGATTCCGATGGTTCATAACAGTAACGTCTGGAAAGGACTCTCAATGGTCAAAGAAGTAGATGGATTGAGTACCTTTCGAGGAGAACGACGGTAAGCGAACGGGGAGCTTTAGAAGTACATGAATAACGCCCGATAAGAATATGACTAGCTTGGTCGGATCGCTCGCGGTACTGATTGTGAGTCCAGGAAGAGTAACGCACTGCCTTGACACTCCTCGAGGAGACGACGGCCATCTTCCGTGCTCATATTTCTCTTAACGGAGAGCTTTTTCCCGCGAGTAATTGCGCCCTGGTGTCCCTGGAACCGACCGGTCCCTCGAGACGTGGAGCTTTACCGGTCGCGCTGGTGCCCATTGTGGAAGCAAGCTCGTTTACTTCCCGCCGACTCGTCCCAATTTCTTATTCCCTGCAAAAACAGGTCCGTGCAAAAAATCTCGCCTAGTACAGGAATGCTACTAATTTCCTTTCTTGAAAAGAAACATTATTTAGATTTCCCGCTCCCTAGTAGCACAAAATATTTATCTTATAACAAATGTCGTACAATTTGTAACTATTTAGCAGACTGTAATGTTGTTTTCTTACTCTGTCTTTTTTACTCTCTTTTCTTCTTAACTTTTCTCTTAACAAGTCGCGAAACGAAATAAACAAATATAAGATAGGGCTAGCGCAATACAGATGCTCACTTAAATTAGAATTTTACGAATCAGAAAATATAAGTCTCTCTAAATTTGACTGGCTTCAATCCAGGGGATTCACTGCACTCGATGCAGGCGAGAAGGTTGTGCATCCCGTCGCAGGAGGATGAAAGGGTGGTCACGTATGGGCAGAAACAAACGTTCTTCTCTTATGCTCCATCCTGGAACCCTTGGACGGTTCAGTCCTTTCTAACGATGCGCACCAGACGAAGGTTGGCGGTAGAGAGAGCGAACGCTGGCCTTCCGATAACACCGAAATGGTAGCACCGGAGAGATTACTCGGACAACCCGGTAGAGGCCTCACAGATCGGTTACATGCAATTGCGCGAATATTCAAACATGAAAATTACGCTACAAGACATTTGAAATATTTACAAAAACGTTTACTTTATAATATTGTTTTTATAATATTTTTCACCCCGCTCTCCTCGTGACCCGTTTCCTGGCCGATTCAAAAGTGTCAATGATTCCCNAAAAACGTTTACTTTAGAATATTGTTTTTATAATATTTTTCACCCCGCTCTCCTCGTGACCCGTTTCCTGGCCGATTCAAAAGTGTCAATGATTCCCTAGCTGCCCAACAGTCGTGACGTGGTTTCCCCAGACTCTTTTTTGTTTCCGCGCTTGAAAACTCCAATGAAAGGATAACATTTCGGGACAGTTGATAACGTCAAAGCGGCTTGCACCAAGGCTCTAAAGGACATTCCGGCTGAGGCCTACCGTGCCGCCTTCGATGCCTAGAAATCTCGCTGGAAGCGATGTATCGACGCAGGAGGAACCTATTTTCAAACCATTTAACCCTTTCGTTACCTCGGACGAGATATTTCGCGACCCAATACTGGCCGATTAACGCTTTTGACGAGATATCTCGCGACCCGATACTGGCCGATCAACGCTTTTGACGAGATATCTCGCGATCCGGTAGTAGCGGTTTAACGCCTTTGACGATAATCTAGCTTCCTAGCACCAATACTTTGACATTCTAGATGAATATATTTTATAATTAATTCTATTCGTATAGCTAAAAGGAAGAAATAAATACAGTTTTTATTAATTTAATGAAATTATTTTTATTTACTTTCTACCTGGTATAATTGAAAACATGGTGTTACGCATAAAGCGACTACCGGGTCGCGAGATATCTCGTCAAAAGCGTTGATCGGCCAGTATCGGGTCGCGAGATATCTCGTCAAAAGCGTTAATCGGCCAGTATTGGGTCGCGAGATATCTCGTCCAAGGTAACGAAAGGGTTAATGTGTTGCACCGATTTGATCTATACATTTTTTTAAATCAACTGCCTGACATTACTTTTCGGTCAAACCCTGTATGTTACCCACTTAAGAATTCGGAATGACGTTACCATCAAAAAGGGAATAGATGAATTTTATTTTATCGACATTGTTCGTTTGTGGAGAAATGACTAGATAGGGAGTGGATTGCGAAGTGGCTTAACTTTAGCAATTCGTTTATCAACGATAACGGAACCGTTGCACTGACTGGCGAATTCATGAGATCTTACAACTTTGACTATGATTGAACGCGAACAAATACTTTGATGGTCTCGCGGTAGACGCAAAACTTATGCGATTCGATAATAGATGCTTACGAAGATTCGCGGAAAGCTCAAGGCTAGGAGCTACGACGGTTTATGGCTATGGCAGATTCTCTTGCGCGAGAAGAGAGCGCCGTTAGCAAGTTCTAGGATGCTGAGATGAAGAAGATCTCATCTGAGAACGAAACGCTTGGAGTCGAGAAAGTCTGGAGAGACTTTGTAGAAGGGCGGAGTTTTGAGAAAGACATCGACGATAGGTTGACAGAAAGTCGGACTGCATTTTGCAATGCGTAGGATTGGTTGGAAGGTCTCGAGGAGAGGGAAATTTAATGCAGTTAAGGAGACGAGAGTGGGGACTGCAAAGATGGAATACAGGACGACGATTTCTAGGAAAGGACTTGAAAATAGGGCCAAAGGGCCAAGGAGAGAAATTGCCATGATCGAGTACGTGCTCGATTTCAAAATTTAGTTTAAGTGGTAGAGACATAAACAATTCTTCCCGGGACATTGCTAGCGCTGGTTTCCATATGGGATGAAGGAGACAACTTGAGGCCGAAGAGAGAAGTGCTTAGGAGAAATGTTCTAGAGAATTAAGCCGAGGCGAAGGCCCTGACTACGTCGTCGTCGACCCTTGGCGGAGAGATTTAGGCCCCGGGACGGTGCGATAGGTCGCGAGGTCTGATTTCGGAGATACTGGACCAACCGCACCCATGGATTCGGAATCAAAATCGTCAGATTAATAAGTTTTGATTTTCAAACACGCCTTAGCTACATCGGCCCGAACAGGCATCGATTAAATTTCTCAGCGCCTTTCAAATCACGTTAAGGGGCCTTAAGTTTCTCACGGTATTCGTGGCCGCTGAATTCAAATCTAACAACATAATTTCGAGAATGTGATGTTTTTAAAGTGATAAAGACAAGCAGATCCACTGGAAAACGATAATTTTTAATTGCAAAATCTAATCGAGGAGGCGGTCTCGGCTCTAAATCAGAAAACAATCTGAAGATCTTAAATCCCTAAAGTGGGGACGACAATTTCAATACATGGCGTTGTATCTCCTTATACTAGTTCGTGGTTTCAATGTTTCGTCGGATCGACACCGTCATGTGTCTAAACCAAAACGTATCGCATAGCGTTAATTCAGTTTAACCCTTTGTGATCGGTAAATTTCTCTGATGGGAGTACTGGATTGTCGGCGCACATTTAGTTGGTTGGCGACGCCGCTTTTACAACACTCTAAAAATGCCGACACTGTAGCGGCATCGATCGCAAATAGCAACTTAAATGTTAATAATTATGATGTTTTACTTATGCCTAGCTCCTGAAATTATTAGCACATTACTTGTATATTTAACATTTGGAAGATAAAATATATTAGGCATCCACTAGGGTGCTGTGACAGGCACCAAGAAATTTAATTGAAACCAGTAAAAAAGAATTCTACTAACTCATATACCATTTGACATGGCCTCCAATATTTTTTCATAACATCACTCATCGATAATCGTGTGATGACAAATGGCGCGTCTCGATACCGATATTTATGATATGGGTATCGATTAAACCAAATTCGAGTTTGGAGCCACGGCCGTGTTACAGTATTGGGTGGAGGGGCCGGGTTCGATGGATCGCGACGTGCTCGAGGGAATATTTCGAATGTAACGAGAATTAAGTAATCCACTTACTTTTCTTTAAGATAACAGCAATCCATTTATTTAATATGGGCAGCCGAGTCCTCGAGGAGCGGGGATGCGACGAAAGTCGATTTGTAGGTCTAGTCACAAATTGTCACCCGCGCTAGCGAATACAATAAAACCAACAGTTCGGGACGGAGCGACGGGCAACTGTCCTCGGAGACTGCTCGAGAGCAAAGAAGACCTCTCCTCTCAAGTTAGGCCCGAGGTCCTCGAAATTCAGGAGGAGAGGGACGTGGAGAGGGCCAACCGTCGGTGTCGTTGGCCCTCGAAATGTGAACAATAGAACGTTCGAGAATAGACGAAATGTTCCGAGATTAAGTTCGATTTATGTTCTCGTCACAATCGGGAACTAGTAGATTTACACTCAGTTGCCATTGTCTTTGTTTCAGGTACCAGGAGGGAGGATTAGTTAAATCCTTGAGCATGGAGTCCCTGATAGCCGACATCTGGTTGGATGAATGGGGTGGAAACACTATCACCTATACAGGAATTTTGGCGACTTGTCCAATTCCCAGATCTATTCTACCTCTAAAGGTTACAATAAGCCCCACTCCCTGTTACGAGAATCCTAGTCATAGTTTAATAATAAACCAGAAAACCGCACACCGCCCTAACACCAAGAGGCAATTTACATTGTGCATCAAAGGCTTGGACTTCGAGGAAGATGTCTCCAAGAAGCTGGTTGCTTTTGTAGAGTTGCACCGTATTTTAGGTGCCAGCTTCTTCCACTTCTATGTTTTGAACGTCCATGAAAATGTACTCAAGGTGTTGAGGCTCTACGAAAGATCTAACGTTGTTAGATGGATCAGATTCAGCTTGCCCGGTGATTTACCTAATGAGAAAAATGAGAGAAGATCGTTTTTAGAAAAGAATCCCTGGATCAAAAGACGAATGGAATTAATTCCTTACAACCATTGCTTTTACGAGAACCTTCAAGATTCCGAGTATGTGCTTCCGATTGACTTGGACGAAACCATTGTTCCAAGGCGTTGCAGAAACTGGTCTCACCTTTTGCTTGACGAGAGGAAAAGGTTAGGTAAATCGTTCAAGGATTTCGCCTCCTACGCAGTGAGAAACGCTTATTTCTTTCCGGAGCTTCAAAACCGTAGTCACTCGACTCGTGATGCCGATCGCGACTTGGATTTTGATTACATGGACACTATGAGATCAGCTATCATTTCACCTGAAGGGGATTCAGTCAAAAGCTTTATTTCTACAAAGCGTGCTCTAACCGTACACAACCATTATGCATTAACAACGCTAAACCCTTCGACAAAGAGAGCCCATCATTTCGATCCTAGGGATGTCCTAAAACATCATCATCGAGTTTGCGACAGTAAGCACATTGACTGCGATTTGTTAATGGAGGATGTTCGTATAGACAGATCAGCCCTGAGATTTGCCGATGAACTAAAAAGCAGGATCAAGACTGCTTTTGACCACCTCAACGCTTTGTCGATGTGATGCTGATGTGTAAATAAAGATCTCCAATAAATCATAGTTTTGATTACCTCGCAAATACATTCGTCAAGAATACACCTGCGTCCATCCTTATTCATTTATGATATCTGAGATTAAAATAAAAGTTAAAACCTTTAGAACGATTCCAATGCTCATCAGATTAAATACTTCCACGTCAATGAAAGTGTTGCACAAATGATTGCTTCGTTTTGAATTCAACATTTAAAACAATTTGATATAATAATGTATCCAATATTTCCCGTCAGAAATTATGGACTTTGACGCTTGAAATCATGTGAAAATTAGTTGGAAATCATTGAGAAATCACTTAAACACTCACAATTTTAAGGCCGAACGTCCCTTGTCCCCGAATTGCAGTTGTTTATCATATGAAATTCAAAGGCAATCGGCTCTCAAAGAAGAAAATCGTTTTCACTGATTTCCAAGTGAATAGCCCCTCGGATATGACTGATGCTGTTTAGCGTGACGCATTTACACTTTTTAATCCCAGCTAAATTAATGTTCTCACGGTGTTGATCCGTAAAAAAAAAAAGTACGTGCACTCGACAGTTTAAATACGGCTAAAGCGGCTAGGGAGTGATTCATTAATGGGAGGTTCATATAATGCCCATGTGCTGCAGAACGGCGTTTATGTGCTTTAGGGGCCATGCATATCGCCGCGGCTACGGACGGTGATTCTGCGAGCGGACGAGCGCTGCGACATCGTTCAATAGGTAGGATTAATAGTTTCAGGTTCCTTGCAGGCTTCACGTGCTTAAAGTACGGCCCGGCGGTATTGAGATGCAGTGATACGCAATTCGAGTTGGTGAAAATGTTGACACGTCATTGGAATTCCTTCGGGTAAGTACGGTGCATAAGAAAGTAATATGCAAGAATATATGTATAATCAGGACACAATTATCGATTTCGAAGATGGGTATGTAGGCTTATTTTGATTTTCCCGGGCCTACCGACGTACTCCACTAGGTTCGCCTGAATCGATACCACATCGATCGAGTTATCGACAGCGACCGACCCTTCGTTCATACACGTCGGCGAAGTCAGAAGTTTGATTAGTGCGTAAGAAACGATTCGAGGGAGAATAAAATTACGTTGCCACAGCTTATTCACTGAGTTATCCTGAGGAAACCTTTTGCGATTAACCACCGCGCCACCGTAGATTCACCTACAGGGATGAAATTATATTAACCTAGTGTCGACAATGCTCGTGGAATCGCGAACGTCAACGGAGAGAGCGAGGTGCCGAGGGCGAACTGATTAACCGTGACAATAAAGTCGATTAGAATTGAACTCAATAACCGAATGCTAACAATCTTATATATGATTACGAAAAACAATGATACTATATTTGGACTTTACGCGGTATCGATAGAAGATCGTAAAACAAGGTGGAGCGGGAAGAACGTCGGAGTTCTCAAAAAGTGGAGCGGTCGAGATCGGTGATCTCTGCGAACCGGAGAAGAGTATATTCTCGCGGGAGATATTAGTAGAATTTGTTCGTCTCGGTGGAAAAATGATACAGAGGAGCCTGTCCCAGGATACTGTCCTCGAGGATGAAGTTTTGTGAAGGAGCAACGCGGATAAGTCTAAGGAAAGCGGGGTTGCATTTAACAATTGAAGGCGATTGGTGGTAGGACTTTTAGGAAAGAGAATGTTATGCACTTTAGGAGTCGTAGGTGTGGAAAGCAAAAATGAGCTACAGGACGAGTAGTTCTAGGAAAGGAACAACTCAAAGGCTAAAGGACCGCGGCGACAGAGAAGTACTCGATGTTTTAGAGTTTAGGGTTTAATTTATGAGCTTCAAGAGCGAGATGTACGTGAAAAGGAGAAAGCGAAGAGAGTCACGGGATAACGCGAAGCATGTGAGAATTTGACAGAAGGTACACACGGACTCGAAAGAGAGGAACATCCAGGTCGCTGGGAAAGAATACCTTGCCCCGGGGGTTCGAGGATCGCCTCTTACCCTTAACGGCATTCACCACTAAAGTGGGGACGATGACTTCCACCGCTAGATGGCATTAGCATCGAATTCGGTGAGAGGTAACCAAAACGTACTTTCTCGCTCGGATGAGGAAGACGCGACGCATAATGGGCGGTGTTTAGCAACGGGCGAAAAATGTGTGCGTATTTTGCACGTATAGGACTCACACAACGGCTAGACGCCTCTGGACTAGGCGCCGAAGCGTGTGTGACCCCCGGCCGTACGCACACGCCAGTTGGACGCTCCGCCTAGTCGGCAACGGTTGCCAAGGAATGCCCAAATTCCTCGCGAGAAACTCGAAAATCCAGAAAAAGGTCCTCCACGGAGACAACGATTTTGAGCGTATTCCTCAACCGATCGAGCTCAACGAGTGCTCGTTTTAAAGATAAAACGTTGACGTGTGTTTATATGGAAGCGATTCTTGATCAAGCACCTCGTTCCTAGTTAAAAGGGCATTGAAATTATGTCGTTGCACTTTCTTATATGAAAATGACCACTTATCGAAAATCGCTCCCATATAAACACAGGTCAACATTTCATCTTCGATATGAGCACTCGTTGAGCTCGATCGGTTTAGAAATACGTTCGGAATCGATGTCCCCGTGAGGCCATGCAAAATCGCTGGAGTGGTGAGCGCCCTTAACGGACGGTCAGGCGCCAGGTTGTCCGAAGGGTCGTCTGGTCCGCTCGAGTGTCTCTGTGACTCGATATAATTTTATCAATCGCTAATTCGTCTTAACATACTGATCTTAACACCTACGAAAATATGTATTCAATTCTTGGAGCGAATATTATAATTTGTTATTTATGTGAGGCGCATCCTACGTGGAAACATTTTGGGGAGCTGACCGGGCGCTAACGAGACCTTTTTGAACTGGATTGTGCTCTGAATGGACGATATTGATTAAATGCCGATCACAAATATACCTCTTCTGATAACTTAGGCCCAGACTGGACTAGATAGATTTGGCTAGCGTTCTTTGTTTACTGCTAGAATTGTTAGGATGCAAAAAAATGTGAAAAGAGTGTCAATTGGAGCGAGAATGGAACACGTTCTACCTTCTGGTTGCTGCACAGAAACTATACCAGCACGTGATGTTGGGTTTTCACGGAGCGTGAACCACTGCCGTGAATGTCTCTATGCTTGCGTGGCTAATCACGACAATCGAAAACGTGAATCGTTCACATGGATTTACCAGAAGCCGACCATGGATGATCTAGTTACCGAGGGTTGTGCCGTTTTGAGTTGTTTTATGTGAAACATTGAAAACAAAATACGGCACTTTCGCCAAATAACGCAACAAAGACGTGAAATAAGACATCAATGGGTTAGAGAGTGGATATTGCAACGATGAATTTTGGGAGCAACGCATTTTCTCCAATCTTGACAATAAGAACTGCTTAAATTGTTTAATTTGACAATCACTTCTTTTGGTCCAAATCCAGATATATTTAAAGACTCGGTAATTCTTTTAGCTGCGACCCTTCGCATGTCTCGGTTGCGATATCCTTCTAAAGTAGGATATTATAGAACCTTTTCCACTTTATACAAATCTAGAAAACGTGCAGTTTCGTTGTCATGAAATTTAATCAAATGTTGGGCCTTATTCCCCAAAGTTACCTTACTCGGTTTTATAATGCGCGCCAAATATGAATTTTCATCGTTGTATTAGTAACTTATATGAGGGTGCTTCATGTTCGATACTGCGGTTAGCAATTGTTACGTCTGAGTGGGTGAAATTGAATGAAAATGTTAGTGATAAAGTAATTATTTATTTGATTGTCTGAACGACTTTAAGGCGCTACAAGTTGACTTGGAATAATTAGGGGTCCCTTGTTGTTAGGAAATAGAGAATGTAGTATTAATACAATATTAAGTGTCGAGCACTTCAAATATACTCATTCTGTATACGATTTTTATTGTGTGCTATTTTAGTGAATTATTCAAATTCAAGCCTTTCTCGTATCAATCGCTGCTCAGACTTTCTCGCACAAATGAATTTGGCCATTTCTTGATAACGAGCACTTCATATAGACAAATATTCTTTCTTACAATCAGTAAAAGTCCCAGGCTTTTGTAGAAATTTATTACGAACAATCGTAAAGAATACCATTGGAAAGTATTTACCAAAGGGGAAACTACGACCGTTCTGGTATAACCATCCATTTGTTGACTATCTCTGTCGATCTCTTGAAAAATGTGACTCACTGGTTATCCCTTAGCGAGCAACGAACTCGGAATGGTTTTTTTTTATACTACATCCCTTCCACGGCATTGACTTCTTTTTCTGACTCTACGTGATTTTTGCGCGCAGGGCTGCAAGATCCCAGTCCTGGAATCTTAGGAAAATCTTTTTGTGTAGGATGACTACTACTGTAGGATGTTTTTTAAACTTTTAAAAGGACTCGACTCTTTTAAACAGCAATTATTCCAGGCATTCTTTCTATAGAATATGCCCCCAGTAGCACGAAATACTTGTATTATATCTTCAATATACATGTAACTAATATCGCACATTTTGTACATTTTTAGCAGACAATTGACATATTTGCAAAACATTTATTTTATTATATTATTTTTCGAATATTTGTATAATATTAGCTTCCCGTATTTTTGTGGTATTTTTCTTATAGATATACAAAACGTTTCGTTCCATTTGAATATAAGCATTTTTTAAATATTATCTGCCGAATACAGTATAAACCAAAAAATTGTCCTGTCCTACTTTGTTGATGATTGGGGTACTACAAATTATCTCGAAATTGAAAAAGATAGGTAACGCATGGTAATGTAAATCCCGATCAAGAGGTGCCAACATTTAAATTCTTCTGTGACAGCAGTGACCTGTACCAGAAATGGAAGGTTTTATCTAAGCTCTGCCCCATATTCAAAATCATGATAACATTTCGACACGGAATCTTCCTACATTTTCCTCCTGAAGTGGTGAATTTGCATGTAAATGATCGGGATATTAGTAATTCGGCGATTCTCTTCCTTCCTCCACCCTGGTTTCTCCGCCTTTCTAGATTTCCGAGCTTCTTTAGAGGTCCCTACG